TTTTTTTTTTTTTTTTTTTTTTTTTTTTTTTTTTTACTATAGCCACTATACTTTTTTTTATTATAGGAAATATAGCCAGTATTTGTTTCCTCTGCTGGCTACGCAGTACTAGAAGCTAATATGATTCCCAAATAGACTACATTATCTGTCATCAACTGCTGCTGCACAAACATGTGAGTAAATACAATGAAGTAATGTTGGCCTCACTTCCACTGGAAATTCAGGCAAGGGAATAGGGTAACAGAAATTGTTTGCAATACAGAAAAGGGGAGAGCTCCATTCACATTCAAAAGTGTATACTAACAATATAAAAAACTATGAAGAATCATTTACGGAATTCCTTTCACGCTGAAAAAAATGAAAAGTCATTCTTCCAGTCATAGTATAATTTCTACTCCGTACTAATTTAATCAGCTCCAGAAAAGAATCTTAAAATGGCTTACAATGCACCTTTTTCAAGATGATTTTAAGAATGTGCAACAATTCACGTCAGGTGTTTGTGCATGTACACATGTCTCTCAAATACTATTTTGGGCCAACTGATTCCTAGATCTGAAGGAAGTTTAACAGTATAGTGGCTCAAGAAGGAATTTTTAAAAATTGTATAAATATATACATGGATGGTTCCATCACTACACTATAGTATTAGTATTACAAAGTTATAGTATCACTAATGCAAAAAGTTAAGAGAACACTCAAACAGACAAAAGCAACTAAGGCTGTCTACATGTCTGAAACTGGAGTATCTGTTTCTGAGATCACTCTGTGCTACAGTATTATACACTCTCAGTCTACTATCTAAATAGAGGCTATAATTTCTAGAGAGTCATATATCCAGAGAGTCATATATCCAAGTTGAAGGTGAAGATTCAACCTTGCTAATGATTTCAGAGCTTTTTAACTGTAGCCTGTATTATTACTTGTCCATACAGGTAAGGTACTATGATGATCTGTGAAGATCCCTGGATCAAATACTTTTGTGTAAAGTGCTTGAATATTTCAGTTAACCAGGATGAGACAGATATGCAAAACCTTAGAAATGGAAGCCTTATGTTTTCCAGGTTGATGTTAAAATCACAACCAACTACTTGTAACCATCCAGCTGGCAGGGCCAAAATTTTAATCCTAACCATGCTAGTACAGAGAATGTTAAATTTTATATTACATAATTAGACTATACCACATGAATTTGTAGTACTGTGTAATATGATGTTTGGGAAAACACAAGTAATTATAAAATACTACTGGATGGCCTTTCAAGCCTCACTCTGATACTGGTCATGGGATATAATAATTAAAATTTGCAAAACCACAAAATATAATAGAAAAAAGGCAGTTACTATACTCACATAGCCTGTCTCCTTACTTAATGAGACATCAATTCAGAGAAGGTCACAGCTTTACATATATATTAATATTTGTGTGTTCAGTGCTACAGGTTTTAGTCATTTAAATGTCTCATTAATAATAGGCACAGTTTATTATTATAAACTAGAAGTAATTTTTATATACTCTAATATGTATGTTACAATGCACTGTATTTTGAATTTTTCAGATACATACAACTAGAAACTGGAACCGAGCCATATATACTAGACCTAGAATCAAACTCAAATGGAAAAAAAAAGAGTTCTTTGCATAGTCAACATTTTTTATTGTCCACTAGACAGGTGAGGACACCAGCTACATCTATAACTATTCCTTTTTGACCTAAATGAGTTTTTTCAGGTACTACCCTGAGGAAGCATAATGTGTCTTCAGTAACGTAGAGACAACAGAAGAGGAAAAAAGAGGTAACTTCTACCTTTAGTAGAACAAGAGGTCTAACAAAGTTTTCACAGAAATATTACTACTACATCTCTGACTTGGTAAAAGGGTGACATAAATCAACACTCCTAGTGAAGTGCAAGAAAAAAAGGATAGCAATGCCTAGGAAATTCCCTGTACCTTCCAAAAATGGACAGTCTATAGGAGACTTTGAATGAGAAAAAGTTACATTTCATCTCTGTGGCTTGGCTCAAAATTGAATTTAGGATTCAAACTTAACAGTCTCAACTTAATACCCACAGAATCAGATTCCATACCACTAAACATATTATTGGAGGGTGGGATATGGGAGCTCAGTGTATATAGGCAACTTTCCCAAGACAGCTAACATAAAAAAAATGCACAATTTTAGGACTACTCTTTTTGCACCCTAAAAAGTGTTGAAATTATTGGCAGGACATAGCCAAAACAGGACTTTGGTTTCTATCGCTTGTGATGATGGATAAGGATCTGATGGCATTCACAGTAACAAGTTTGACTCCAACTAATATTTCCATAACAAGAAATAATAACATTAAGTCTAAGAATAGTTTTATCAAAAAGCATTTGAGGATCTGAATTTTATTTCATTTTTTTCTAACTTAATATATCTTATTAAACTTCAAGCAGAAAACTAATTTTAGTCTCAATCAGCAGGGCATACATGGTTCAAGAATCTTTTCATTATACAACAACAAATGTTGAAGGTGCTGTTCAGAATCCAAGTGTCACTGTATAGCAACAAACAAAAGTTCCCTCTTCTTTACACTGTCACGTGGAGGGTTATAAAAATAACAAGATATTGGACTGCTGTGCTCAATAAGCCAAGTATTGTTCACATGTATAGAAAAGCCTACCAACTATGAAATAAAGACAGAAAGAGGGTGACATGGATTTCCCAGGCCTAAGAACTTTCAGGTGTCTTAAGCCATGACAAAAGCATCACTACACAGCAGAAAGCAACATGACACCATTTAGAATACTGCAAAGAAAATGAATATTGAACATAATGCATATTTGAGACAAATGACTTAGCATCTAATCCTGTCAGGAGATTTCTGCCAATTAAAATACTGGCTCACAGATGGCTTTGGAAGAAAAACTTCCCATCAACAAAGGGTGTAACAGCAGCAGAAAGGAACACTTGAAGCTGTATATTCTCCAACAACTGAAATGCTACCAGGGCATAGAACAGTAACATTTATTTTACTGGCAGAAGAAAAGGTAGATCTGTACCTTATAAACTAACTAAATCAGAGATGCATAAGCTTTCCTATGCTTATTACTATTATTTTATTGGCCCTATAGTCGTGCAAGTTTTCAAAAAAATAAAATAACTAGTCTACCTGTTTTAAAAAAGGAGCAGGGACTATTTAAAGACTTCCGCATGTAGTACTATCATTTAGCTCCAGTAAACTTTTATTTAAACAAAAAAGTCATGAATATTACCACCCAAGCTGGTAATCTTAAACATGCTTGTTTCTTTTGCCTGAGCAATAACAATGATATCATCTTCGGCTCAGAATTATTTCAGGTCTACGTTCTGTACGTTCAAGAAAAATCTTTGCAATTAAAAAACAACACAACACCTCACTTTACTTTCATAAATTAAACAGATATCGTCACAAGTGAGGACTCAAGCTCCTCTCTTGCAGGTGTGAGGTTTCAGACATCTTAATACAAATGTGATTTTTTTTCCTTGTCAACAGAACAATTAAACTGACTATGGGTTAAACTAGGTCACTGCAAGATGCCTCCCTGTGACTAGCTCAGCTTCGGTGGCAGAAACCGAAACACATTTAGATTTTGCTCTTATTTCATTCTCCAGCTGGAAAATGCCAATACTTAACGTCTAAACTTCGCAGGGTCGGTATGAAATCCATTCACTAGCACTTAGCAAAGCAGGTACCTTTAGAAATGGCACCACTTCTCCTATTTTTATTCTTAGGAAAGAAAACTTCCTGGAAAGTCAGAATGCATCTGGCTCACTGCAATGGAGATATTTAAAAATATCTTTGAGGCTTTCTCCCTCCTTGCCAAAAAACAAAAAATAGCAAGCGTCCTCTGAGCCCATCGGGGCAGTCGAGCCCTTCCCCCAAAGCTCATCCGAAGGGGCCGGCGATTACAGCGGTGCCAAATGAGAATGACATGAATCCAACCAAAGCGGTGGTTTGGAGAGAAAGAAGAGACCCATAATTACCGGGGACGAACTACACGGGCTGAGTCATCACTTCGCAGCGAAACCCACTGAGCGAGAGGGATCTGATTCCCCAAGTCGCTCGGGGCAGGCTCTCGGCCCTGCTGCTTGCACAACCCAGCGCGCGCCGGGCCTGGCCCGAGACACCGCCGTCCCCAGCCCCGCTCCCGCTCGCACAGCGCCCGCGGCCCCCTGAACCTACCCAAAGGACCACCCCCCTCCGCGGCCCGGCCCGGCCTCACTCACAGGGTCCTGGGCTGCCCGTCGTCTTCCATACTGGTGCGCCCGCAGCCGGGGCAGGCGGGCGCTGGGGGGCTCCGGCGCGCGGCGGGAAGGTGCGGGTGAAGGCCCCGGCGCCCCGCGCTCCGTCTCGCCCCCGGCTCCGCAGCCCGAGCGGGACAGGGAGGCAGCAGTAGTAGCAGCACCAGCAGCAGCAGCAGCACAAAATGGCCGCCGCCGCCAGCCACTCAGGAA